ATAGTTTAGACAATCATTACTTCAATTAATTTGGGAGTTAGCTAGCTTCAAAAGACTCCAAGAGCCACCCTTTAGACTTGAGTTAATGAGAATAATCAATACCAAGCCACCTTGAGTATTAAATTTCCAAGATTAAACTGATTAAGCAAAACTAGCAAGAGAGAATCAAAGACAGCAATTAGTACTTTTGATCCAATAACCACGCGACCTTGAATTATCACGACATATTCACAATAATTTCAATGAATAAACTTATTCCAGCTCTTAAATTTCAGAATTCAAACCTCACAGTCCCAAGCATTAATCCATCGATACCATACACGCACACATACACAAGCATGCGATTATTTTATGCCATTCTTATCTAAACACAAAATCGGTCATCTAAATTCAAGAACCCCTTTTTATGATAGTCAATATAATAGAGAAGAAACAAGAGATTCTCGGTCTCGGCAATCAAAAGTCAGAACAGAACAAACGCATGCACACCACAAAATTCCTACTTAAGCTTTATTCTACTCCTATAAAGCATCTCTTAAATCTGTCGATGTTTCCCCCTTCCCCTCAACAACAACTTACGGTCACTGTAACTCTCCAAGTAGTATTCTAACGCTGAGAAAGAGGGTAGGAGGAGCATTAGAAGGTTTACCTTGGTTGGATCCTAGCTTATATGCGTCGAATCTTCCTCTTTCCCTTTCTTTCTTCCTCCTTGTCTCTTCTGCCACCAAATCGCACCCTCTCTGCCCCTCCCTTTTCATGTTTGTGCGCGAGTGGAGTGAGGGCAAAGTGTGCTCTATATAGAGAAGAAGCAGAGATGTCATGGCAAAGGAAATTTTGGAATTTACCCACGAGTTGGGCTTCTAATTGGAACGTGCCCCACATAACTTTCAACCCATGGGTAATGAGTTAACTATTTCTTTTTCCCTTTTTTATTTGATATTTCCTTATTAAACAACTCTCAAAAATTAATCTGAACACATTATATGAACTTTTCTCCTCATTTAACTTTCTTAACTCATAAAATAGTTGTCCTAAAATTTTTAGGCTAAAAATCAACCTTTAACCATTTTTCTTGAATTGCTCAAGAAAATAACTCTTTAATTTAGGAAATTAGCTTTTAAATTATTTCTAACCTCTTTGGAAAATAAAATCTTCCATAAACTTTTTTATTTCCCAAAATGATCATCTATAACTTTTCCTTAATTATTCTTGTCTATTTTTAATAATTATTCCTTTCTTGATTTTCTTGCCCGAAAATAGGTTTTATGGAATAATTATTTTTCTGAGGCCTTAAATAATTCTTTAAGCCTCCTAAACATCTTAGTAATTGCTAGCTTTGAAATTAGAGATATTACACTCCACATAAAATTCCTCCTCCATTCTGCACGTCTCTTTAATTCTACTAATCTTTTCTTTCTTCATCTTTGTTTCCATTAGGAAGGTTATAGAAGGTCTGTGTTTAAAAAATTTCTTCCTTTAACTTCTCAACTGTCAAGGCTCTTTCCAGACCTTGATAGCTCCGTGCTAGGATTTTCATGGCCCCTTGATGGCTGTTTTAGGCCAACCACCAAGATCTTAAGCACAATTCATCATACTTTGACTCAAAAGCTTCTCCACCGTCTCCGTTTCAATTAAACCAGGGCCTCCTTGACTCCTCCCTCCCCTTCTCCTGCCTCCCTTCTCATTTGGCGTTTAATCAAATTAATACTACCACAACCTCTTTTGTTTTTGATAGTTTGTTTGTTTTTCACATATTCATTAGGATTACTCTCAAAACACAACTTTCTTCTCTTACTCGATTGCAATCCACTTCCTCCACTAATCCTCTCTTCAACTTTACCTTCTTCAAACTAGCAATAACCTCTGACATTGGAGAGGCATCTCCATCAACCACAATTGCTTTCAAAAGATCCCCCCTACTCTTCACTTCCACACTCCGTGCCTTTATATTATTAGAGTTACATTTCAGAACACTGCCAGTTATCTTTGCTTCCTTCAACTTCTCCAAATCAATCCTTCTTTTTGCCAACTCAACTTTTTAACTATTCCCCTTACATTCCTGTGGCCTCTCAGTCACATTTGAATTCATACTGCTCATATTTTCCTTTTCAACTAGTGAGTTCTCCTTTCTTTGTAAAGCTCCTATCACTTCACAATCCTTCTCCCTACGAACTTCTCCAGAACATCCTTCCCTTTCCTCCTGACATCAATTTGAAATTCAGTAATTACAGGAGAATCTCTTCTTGCAAAAGCTTCATCATATTCCTCCCATCCTTCTCTTCAAACTCTAATAGCCTCATCTATATTTTTGGCAGTTTGCACACTCAACCAACTGCCAAATTTCCTCTCGCAGCTCACTCACTCAACACACACAACTTCTAAATTCATGTCCAATTCTACCACATTTGAAACAAAAAATCTGTAAGCATTTATGCCTTGCTTTATTCTGTATAGGATCTTCATCTGGTTTAGACGTCCACATTCTAGTAACCAATGTCTCTTCAGATCTACCAAGACTCTGACTCATAAGAATATACGAATGAATGAGTCATTCTTCCTTGTATCTTCTACCATCACAACATCACCAATCAGCGATATGAGAGTTACAGCATTCTCAATATCCAAAGCTCCCTGTGGTAAGCCATGGAACTGAATCCACAAAGGGCACTTCTCAAATTAACCTCGCTAATTACCATATCCTCTTCCGAAGGCTGAACATTAAGCAAATCACTTTTATCAACCATGGCCTTCCATTCAAAATACGCAGATAATCCGATCGATGTTTGAATTCAAATATGAACACGTGCTTATCAACATCCAGTATCTCTATATCCTCATTCTTGATCAGATTCCAGCCCTTTCTGATCATATGAATCGTTGTGATTCTATTCAAACTCTTCTCAGTCGCCAATTTCCCTACCAATGCACCTCCATTAATCTTCCTTTGCTCTTTTATCGTCCATATCAATTTCACCTCCATCTCACCATCCTTCTGACACAAACCACTCGTGCTTCCTTCCACTATTGCAAAAACTCACACATCCACTAAAAACTCCTTAAGCCTGCACCAGGCCCTCAAAAATTTACGTCACAACAATGCGCCATAACATAGTCATTCTTCGAAACTCCGTCGGAGTGGGTGGTGGAGCAAAATTCCCTCAGAAATACAAGATCAATGATAAACAGCCGTAATTAACTCTCACAGAGGAGAGAGAAAAAGCTCTTACGTGGGACAGGGAATTTTGTCCTTTTTAAACCAAATTTAAACTCAAACTTTTTTGAGCTGAAAATTTAAACTCAAACTAAACAACGAAAACACAAGATGTTTTTAATAGTCAGTCAAGTAATTGAATCTAATAGTTTGAATTTAGTTGGATTTAAAGAGAAACTGTTCCACGGTCAATTATTTGTGAAATTAAGTAAAGCTTTGACAATAAAATTTTTCCATCTAAAGCTTTTACAATAAAATTTTTCCATATAATAAGTTTTGAATAATTATTAAATATGAAATTAGAAAAATACGCAAAATCAACCGAATGGAGAAAGTATGCAACCTGCATATGTGTGCGTGCATGGGTGCGCCCAAAATCACCATGTGCACTTGTTCTCTCTTTTTATTCCAGAGTAAATTCTTTATCTCTTTAACTTCTATTTATATTTTTTATTTTTAAGTTCATTAATTCCAAATTAAATATTTATTGAACAATTACAGTATAAAAATTTTTATTTCTTAAAAAATTATACAAGTCATTTTCACAGTAATTTTAATTATGATTTTCTTAATTTTTCTTATTTCAAAATTTTCACAAAGTTTTAAATAAATAAAAAAAATTATTTCCGTATTTTATGCTTTTGGGTTGAAATGAATATTTCTTGAAATATTTTAATATATTTAATGTAAGTTTGAGAATTATTCTTAAACATACCATTGTTAATAATATTTGACAGTTTTTGTATAATATGGTAAAATTAATGTTAAAGTAAACACAAATTTGGAGCCTGTGTGTGAGCACGTGCACGCATATGCATAACAATCTATCATTTAATTAGAATTAAAATTATATTGATACTTTTTAAAAAAATCACAGCATGAGAATTAAAAATTTTCATTAAAAAATATTTAAATAAGTATAAAAATCAATTAAAATTATAATATAAAAATTAAATAAAAATTTAAATATAACTCAAACTGATGAACAATGATACGAGATATTATTTTCAATTGTTCAACAAGTAAATCTCTTCATTTAAATTCATTTATGTTTAATTGGGCAAAAAATTCGTTTTTGTTTAAAGAAGAATTATTCTACACGTTGTGAAATTAAATAAATATTTTCAAATTAGCTCTGTTGAGTAAAGTATAAACAATTTTTTTTAATTTAACTGCACCAACACAAATTCTTAGGGAGATAAATTAGTGAAAAAGCAGATTAAAATGATATTGTTATAATCATGATATTGTTATGTCTTACTTTTACTTTTTTAATCATTTTCTTGAATAGAATAAATTTAAAAATGTCAAAATATAATATTTAAGTATTCTGTTCCATATGATTTATACTCTGTTCATTGAAAAGCTAAATACCATATATATGAGCCGCACATGTTACGCACACGCACTAGCATGTTCTACTGCTCCCCTCCTGCACCGTAATTAGAGAATACATCCGTTTACTGTTTAATTTTCTTTTGCAAGTTTTTTTGAACTGTTCCTTTTCTATTTCGTAAATTCATTAATGTCCTATCAAATCATTATTGAATTATATGGAAGTCATGATTTCCATCAATTTTTTACGACCAGATTTTGTACATAAAGCACAGGCTAACTCGATAAACCTAATGTGTCAAGCTGGACTCTATATCATTCGAAAGGACCTACTCCTTTTAATATATTCAACATTTCAACATTCACCTATATCATTCAACATATTTTACCATGTTATCCGCAAACACTATTACCTGTTTCGGTTTCTTTTTACAGATCTTTTTTTTTTTGGCAGGTTTTATACCCAAGGACATAGGCTGTCTTGTTAAACTTGAAATCATAGATTTGGGATCAAATTATTTGAGTGGACCTATTCCTTTCAGTATATTCACCATTTCAACATTGAAATACTTAAGCCTTGGCAGTAATTCCCTCTCTAGCCTTCTCCCATCATATTTAGGGATTGGCCTTCCCAACTTGGAGAATTTACTACTGGATGATAATGAGATAATTGGACAAATTCCAAACAGCATATCAAATGCTTCTAAGCTCATTGAGTTAAATTTGTCATTGAATAAATTAAATGGATCTATACCCAATGTCATTGGAAATTTAAAAAACTTGTTCGACTTAGCTTTGGATGGGAATGATTTGACTGGGTTGATTCCAGACAGAGTTAGCAACTTACATAAACTTCAACGTTTAAGTCTCAGCAACAACAGATTGCAGGGTTCCATCATAAATGAACTTTGCCAACTCAAAAGTCTAAGTGAGTTGTATCTTGCCAACAACATGTTTTCGGGAGCATTACCAGGATGTCTCGGGAATACTTCTTTGCGGAAGTTGAATTTTAGCTCCAACAAATTGATGTCTCATATACCTTTTTCTTTCTGGAGTCTCAAAGATATCTTAGTTTTAGACATATCGTCCAATGCATTGAGTGGATCAATATCGCCAGAGTTATCAAACTTTAGAGCAATTATACTGTTGAACTTGTCAAGAAACCAGATTTCAGGAAGCATCCCTACAACTATGGGTGGCTTGCAAACCTTGATAACTCTATCTTTGGCTAACAACAAATTACAAGGGTCTATTCCTCAATCATTTAGTAGCATGATAAGCATAGAGTCCATGGACCTTTCCCATAATTATTTATCTGGTGTGATTCCAAAGTCCTTAGAGTCATTACTCAATCTTAAATACATTAATCTTTCTTACAATTTGTTGGATGGAGAAATTCCAAATGGTGGTCCTTTTCAAAATTTTACTGCTCAATCTTTTATGATGAATAAAAATCTTTGTGGGAAATCCCAACTACAAGTCCAACCATGTAGGAGAGGAAACAAACACAAATCAAACAAAGTGATGGTGGTGATAAAATGCTCAGTGCCTATCATGGTTGTCATTTTGGTCGTTACAAGCATTATCTTTCTAAAGCATAACAGAGACGATGCTGACTATGCAACCAAAAGGGATTTAACCAATTTGGATGCACCAACTAGGATATCCTATTATGAGCTTTTACAGGGAACAAATAGATTTGATGAAAGTAATCTTCTTGGCTCTGGAAGTTTTGGATCAGTATATAAAGCAATTCTTCCAAATGAAAAGATAGTTGCTGTCAAAGTATTTAACATAGACATGGAAGAAGCATTGAGAAGTTTTGATATTGAATGTGCAGCTATGTGCAATTTACGCCACCGTAATCTCATTAAGATCATTAGTTGTTGCTCGAATGATGATTTCAAGTCTCTAATAATGGAATTCATGTCAACTGGAAGCCTTGATAGATGGTTGTACTCTCATAACTACTGTTTAGATATCCTACAAAGGTTGAATATAATGGTTGATGTGGCAACTGCATTAGAGTATCTTCATCATGGTATTTCTACTCCAATTGTTCATTGTGACATAAAACCAAGTAATGTTTTGTTGGATGAAGATATGGTGGCTCATCTTAGTGATTTTGGTATGGCTAAACTATTAGGTGAAGGACAATTGGAAACTCGTACAAAAACATTAGCTACAGTTGGCTATATGGCACCAGGTAATAATTTAATAATAATATCTTAGTTCAATTATGTCTGTTTTTTATTATTCTATGTGAAATTTTATATTATACAATGATTGACATAAATTTTCCATTCCTATATGCAAAAATTTGTATTAGCTATACAAAAGTAAAGTTTAACGAAAAACCATATATTCTCTTTTGACATATAGAGTATGGATCAAAAGGAGTGGTTTCTTTCAAAGGAGATGTGTATAGCTATGGTATCATGCTAATGGAGATATTTACAAGGAAGAAGCCAACTGATGAAATGTTTGAGGAAGATCTTGGTTTGAAAGATTGGGTTAGCAAATCAACACCACATTCAATCATCAATATTCTAGATGTCAATTTGCTACCTAAAGGGAATTCAAATATCAACAATATATTAGCACATATATCATCAATTTTTGAGTTGGCATTAAGTTGTTGCACTGAATTACCTGAAGCACGAATTATGATGACTGATGTTGTCGTCTCATTGAAAAAGATAAGGTCATATTTATGTAAGATGTTAGAGATGCAACACTAGTTAAATAATCTTTATATGGAAGTTTTAGTCATTGTTTCTTTGTAAGATAAATTACATAGTTTATAAGGTTTTATGTTTTCTGTAGGGAGTGAGCAAATGTGAACATTATATTTTGAATGTTTTTGGATTTCAGGGAGTCTAGATTATTGGAATAACAACTTTTTGAAGAAGGGTTCCCTCTTCTTCCATAGAAATGGTTATTGGGCTTCTCTTTTATTTTTATTTTTCATTCATGCAAGCATTCAAAACTTGAGAAATGAAGAAAGCATTAACATCAATTAAACATGGAGATATTAAATGAAGAAAAGATGTTGAAATGAAAATACCGATGGGAATGAGTCTCAATTTGCTGCTCTAATTAGCATCACTTACAGATAGATAGCTTAGGGAGCTTTTGAGGGATGTTTTACCCCCCCCCCCCAAAACAATCTTCTCTTATCCGTCAAGCTTAAGAATGGAGCAAGAGTTTGTGTGGAATATTAATTTGTATATTATACCTATTCTATCTAAAAATTTTATTAGTATTTATTCTAGTTAGATGTATGATAGTCATACTTGTAGCGTTTAAAGGATTAATCACGACTATGTAAGCATCTAGTGAGTCTATCTGAGTCATTTAATTTAGCTATTTTTGGCGTAAGGAACAAGTCTAATAATTTGCAGCGCAATTTATTTCAACAGTTTCTTGGTAGATATATGTCACACATAGGGCTACTCCCAAAGATTTTATTATCATCAAAATAAGGCAGTCAGGTTTATTTGGAAGGGCCCTTGAGCCCCTCCCGCATAGTACTCCATCATTCTTAATTTAACTAAAGATTAATAATCATTCTTTTCGGTAACATCCAAATTAATTATGTTATTTTGTCTTGTTAAATTCGTTTCGTATATCTAATACTAATGCGTGTTCTTTTTCATTCTGACATTCTTATACCCCTCACAAAAAATTGAAACTTACAATTTTACATTTAAAAAGGTTTCGAAGCAGGTGTTTAGTACCACGAGACCCAACTCTTTGCGTTTTATTTTATGATAAGAAAATAAAAGATCACAAGCATAATTCTTTTTCTTTGACAACCACCAACAATACAACTGAAAATTGAACATGGTCAATGACCTAAAATCAACCAATCATGTACTTACAACTGAAAATTGTTCAATTTTTCCCGAAAATTGGGAAATCGTTACCGTTTATAGGGATGTGTTTTCCTTTAACCCATTAATTTTGATATGTTGATGCTTATAGAGTAAGTCGATGATTATATTATCTAAGCAATGAAAAGTAAGCATGAGTCTAAGCAAAAATGAAATAGGTTAAAAAATCTTTAATTTACGAATTTTAGAAAATCATCAAAAATTTTAAAAAGTATACTCACTTAAACGTTTAATTATAAATTACATAACGAGAGATACGATAACATTGGTTGAAGATTTAACCTTTTAATAGGACGTGTTCTAATTTCGAAGTAGTATTATAAGCAGCACTTTTAATATTCCTTGTTCCTCCCTAGTTACACAATAAGCGGTAAGATATCACTGGCATGAATATGTTATAGTATGACATCTTGACATTCAAAAAATACTTTATTCCCTGTAGTTTTATCGTTTTAAATGTCAGGACTTAAATTTAAACGATTTAAAAATTTAGGGACTTAATTTTAGCTGAATCAAAATTATAAGGACTAATTTATATTGAATTAAGATTACCATGACATGGGCATGTCCATATGAATGAAACATGTAACACCCCGAATTTTATGATTTAGGATGAGTAGAAAAGAGAAAAATTTATTAAAATTATTTATTTGCCAAATAAAGGGGGAAAATTATGGAATAATGATTTTTAGGGTTTAGAGACATTTTGGAAAAGGTATTTCCCCAAAAATGGCTTAAATAATTTTAATAGATAATTTTAAGAGAAGAATGGTTTATTTTCTCTGGAAATTATGGAAAAAAAATACTTAGAGATTTATATTTAATCTGAGAATTTTAGGATAACCAGTTGTGATGGATAAGAAAAATCCATTCAGGATATTTTGGTTTAATTTCTGGATATATCTTATATTTCAGAAAAATAGGAAAGGGATAAGATTGAGGAATAATTATTTTGGAGGGCAAAATGGTCCAACAACTATGTAATACACGTGTGCCTTCTCCATTAGCCACCTGATTCACTTCTTCATTACATAACTGATCACCGTGGCATTCTTTCATTTCCTTCCATCCGCGACAGTGAGAGAACTCGAGAGAGGGAGTAGTGCCGGAGGTGGTGATCGAAGGAGTTTTCCTTGCATGCAACCGGCGATCTTGATTAAGGTGAGCCTCCTGAACTTCCTTCCACTCTTGTTTTCTCCGGTCTGTGGCTTAATAAGGTGCAAAGGTCGACTGACAGAATTTGGTTAGTGAGAGGAAGTGAAGAAAGGAAGAAAAGGATCGGTGAAATGGTGTTTGTCGGTAAGATAGAAGTGGGTAGAAGTAGTTTTTGATCTTGCATGTGCTTTTCCTTGTCTTTGCGCTGCTGTCCGAACAGGGGGTGTGTGTCTGGAGATGTTTAGTGATGATTTTCGAATTGTATGATTCATTTTCCCTCTGGTTATGGCTGTTCAAATCTGGGTAGTGAATTTTCAAGGTCAAGTTACGAAGCTAGTATGAGGTAATAAGTATATGTATGTATGTATATGTGTGTATGTGTGTACCGAATGGTTGCTCTGTTTTTGACTTGGCCGAACAGGGGTTAAAGGCTTGGGGGAGTCTGGTTCTGCTGATTCTATACAGGGGAAAATCTTCTGTTTAAGGTTGGTTTTGGTTTGGAGGAAGAGATCGAGGAAGATGCAAAATATATATTCATGTGTGTTATTGACTTTGAGGGTAACGTGCAGGAGTAGTATATATATATGTTCTGTGTTGGCCGACTTCTGAATATATATGTGTGTGTGTGTGTGTGTGTATATCTAGCTAGGTGTGTTAAATGTGGGATGGTGATTTTGGATCGGTATGAAAGGGGAGAACCGAAACTTATATGTGTGGGTATGATAGTCGCTGGTTTAGATGATGACTGGTTTTTGAGAGGAGACCGAACTGATATATATATATATATATATTTATATAGTTTCGGTATATGTAGCTTCTGTTTCTGTAAGTTGGGAAGAGTATAATATTATATGTATACACACGGTTATTATTGCTGTTAGAACTTGGGAGATACATTTATATATATGTCGTCGTTGCTGGAAGATTTTGGGATTGCATTTTCTGATTTACAAACGTGTTCAAGTTGCTGTTTTTATGTTCCTTGATGTCAAGAAACTACTTTGGACTGCTAAATGATCGAGGAGTTGAGTAGAAACATTATTCGGATTTGACGTTAAAGTTGCTAAAGGAAATAAAAAGGGAGAAAAGTTGCTGTCCAAATTTTAAGAGAGTATTGATACATGAATATGAAATTGAAGCAGTAATTATGTTAGTCAAAATTTGGTGATAGGCTTGAATGGATGTGTTGAAATTAAAAAGGAATTAATTCTACTAAAAGTGATTTTCATGAATTTAGGAAATGAGAAAATAAAGGAATTTTTCATATTATGGGTGAGAATGTTTGAAGCTTGACATTTGCTACTATAGAGGATCGAAAAGTGTTGAATAGAGAAGTAATAGAAGGATTATAAGCTAAAATAAAGATGAATGGCTGTTGAGGTTGATTTTGGAATGTTCAGGATGAGTGACAATTAGTTTATTTGGATTCCTTGTGTGGATAGGAGAATAAGAAAGTTTTATAGTAAAGTTATAACTAGTAACTAAATTAATAAACATTTGGATATAGGCTTGAATTGAGATGTTGAAATTGGGACTTTGAGTTTGATCATGTTCCTAAATGAAAAATGTTAAAGAGTTAAGAGAAAATACTGTTCCGAGTTCTTTAGATTTTAAAAGTAAAGGTAATGGTTTAAAAGGAAAGAAGATCTTGTTGTTTAAGTTTCTACATAGGATATTAATAATTAGGAAGTGAATTATCACAAGGACAAATTACAAGTTCAATAGACTTAAGATAAGATTACTTGATTGAAACCCAATGAGGAGAATATAAGTATGTTAATATGTGTGATTGAATGTGTATTATAAATGAGTACGTGTAAGTCAAAGTCATTCGGACTTTTTACTTGATTGAAACTCAAGTAAGTGGACTTGAAAGCAAATGCATGTGAGACATGACATTGTCCTTAAAATAAAATAAATAGAAATAGTATTTTTGACCAAGATGACTAGTTACTAAGTAAAGTAACTGTATGGGTTGAGATAAGGAATGAAGCCTTTCAAAGAGAATAGTTTGAATAAGAAAATTGTCCAGGATGATCAACTATTAAGTAAGGGTAGAGATGGAAAGAGATTGGGAATTAAAGAGGGTTATTTAATTTATAAATTATGTTGGATCAAGCATTAACCTACCTTTACTAAAGTAATAGGTTTTGATATCTGCAAAAGCCTACCGAAGAAGCTAAGAGAAAGGAAACAAGTAAGGTTTGATTTTGAAGCAGAAGGTTCAGGTAGTAGTTCTTTCCTACCTTACACTTGTGTATGATTGCTGCATGTCTGTTTGTGCCATATTGCTTTTCTAAAGCATGAGAACATGTAATCCTTAATTCCTTGCATGGATTATTTAGCCGTGATCACGTGTAGCTGGTAGACATGGGGCAGTGATTGCCAATTATTTGCGCATTATTTATTCAGCTTGTCTATCTGTCATTGCGCATAAATGCTTAATTGCATTAGCTTGCAAGGTTATGTTCTACTTTGGCTTGTTTTGCATGCTTTATGTAATCTGCACATTTGTTTGATGGAAATTACTACTACGGGGATTCGTTCGAATCTCACCCTCCCTTCCTATATTATACAGCTAGAGCAAGCAATTCCAAGAGTAAGGAGGTCATAAGTGCTGAAGGTGGGCTTGTATGAAGAGCAGGAATGCCTGCTGCTTTTGTACCTATAGAATAATTATTTTGATATTTAATTATCTGACTTATTAGATGTTTAAGAGCAAGTAACCCCCACTTACTAGTAATTATACTATTTTGTATCCTTCTTTAAGGGAGTGTGTACTTTCAGTGCTCATGTAAGGGTCATTGTCCTGAATGACTAGGGTAGTAACTTA